AATTTCTTTCTGAAGTCTTGGAAATCTCATATGTGCCGTCTGTAGTTTTTGCTTGTTCCTCTCTTTCATTACACATATTTCAGAGATTTACATGATTCTAGATTTAGCAGCAACATTGTGGGGTTTCAGTTTTGTTTCCTGGCCCATGTCTCTGTCAAAGTGTCTCTTAATTGTTCCACATATTCTATGGTAGTTATTAAGTTTTTATGTCTTCCTGAGTTTGGTTGTATATACTTACAATATTTAGGAGGTATAATGTATTTACATGTTCCACTAATTTTCCTTTTATTACTATTTTAGCTCCCTTTGTTCCTTGCCAGGTATTGCTACTTTATTTTCTGAAGTGGTGAGCCTCATGGCCCACTTTTGTCAATTCAAAAACTGCTCTTTGTAAATTAACTTCAGAATCCACTAAAATAGTTTGGTCATCAGCATACAAGACTGTATCTGACTTCTTTTTTCTTTTTGTGATCTGCATTCCTTGCTTGACTTTGACGTTGAAGAGAATGGATTTACATCCTCGCCTTAAGTCTCTGTTACTGCTGCTGACTTTCTTCTCTCTCTTAACAGTTATTTCAATTCTTGACTTCTTGTATTGTCTTTGTATTGCATTGAGCAACTGACCTGAAATTTTCTCCTTTTCTAATATTTCCCAAAGTTTCTGACTATTTACTATGTCATATGCCTTTTCATAAACTATAAATATTATAAATGTTGATGGATTCCTTTCCCTTCTTTTGCCCATCAACATAGATAATGTAAAAATGGCGTCTTTAGTGCTTTTATCCTTTTGAAATCCACATTGCTCTTCTCCCATGAAATTCTCACATATTTCATTTCGTCTGTTCCCCAGCGTGTTTGCATATAGGTTTGATGATGTTGATAGCAGTGTAATGTCCCTATAATTGTCACAGTTCTTCTTTGAGACTTTCTTAATAATAATATTTTATTGACTCACATATACAATTACAATCATGTATGGCGAGTCAATATGATGTCTTGGGTGCAGAGAGTGAAGTCACATTACTATCCAGAATCAAAACAAGGGACCATCTCAGCATTTGCTCAAAGAACCAGGGAAAATGGACAAAAAACCTGATCATGATGGGGTCATTGGCCTAGGAATTATATTACAATACTTGTCACAAATAGATTAAGGTATTTTACAGTAGATAATTATTTATAGAAGCAAAATTATTTAAAATTTCAAGATTTGTACTGTTTCATGTTTAAAGTCATCATCATTATCAACACCCTCGGTTTAGGAACGGTGCTCCTGCCCTGTTAGTGGGTAGTAAAGCAGTATTCCTTCATGTGGTGAAGTGTTTCTTGGTGCCATCTTGTCGGTCTGCGTCTATCCCTCTTGCCAGTCAGTCTATAATTTAATGTCACCCGTGGTAGATGTCGTTTGTCCATTCTTTTCATGCGTTTTCTCCATTTCCTTTGGTAATTTTTTGATTTGTTCTGCTATGTTTTGTTTTCAGTTTTTTCCTAATTGTTTATTTTGAATTTTGTCCCCAACACTGCCCTTAGAAACTTCATCTGAGCTTCTTCTGTGCTTATGGTTTCCTTTATCCCCATCATCAAATTTCTGAACCATACTTTAGGTTTTGATGTAATATTATGGATTCTCATCATTGTTTCTTTATTCATATGTCCAAAATGTCTATCCATTGTCTGTCCATTGTTTCTATTATATTTTTGTATTTTTTTGTTCTATATTCTTCTAGTTCAATCCAATTGAATTTCAGAGATATTTATAAGTGATAACTTGTTCAATTATTGATTTTCTTTTACTATTTTGGATCTAAGATGTTCTTTGACGTAGAAGGCTAGTGTTTTAGTTTTCTGACTTGATATTTTTATTTGGTATTCTATGCTTATTTTGCTTAATTCAAAGGCTTCTTTGTGTAGTGTGTCTTCTGAGTCTGTTATTATAACTTGGAGGTCTGCAAGTAATTTCTATATATGTGTGCAATGCAATATATTTCTATAATAGTCACTAATTTCTGGTTGTTTGTTAACTTTATTCCTGCTAGAGTTTTTGTTTCCATGTTTTTGTCACGTATTTAAGTAAAAGTTAAAGAGTAGTAGTGACAGTGTTCATCCTTGTCTTAGACCCTTGTTAGTCTTCATCAGCTGTGTTGTGCCTTAATCACTTTTAATAACTATTTTGGAATCTTGATACAGGCTCCGTATTGTAACGAATATTGCGTCACCTGCCGAATTCGCTGCGCGTGGATTGCGTCATCTGCCGGCGCCCCTTCCCTCCCCCCCGAACTAGACGGTTCTGGACTATCCGCGAGCCGCGGGGAAACGCCGAGAATATGCCGGGTGCCTGGAGACAAGCGCCGGACAGGTATAAATGCGCCGCTGCCGGCGGCCGCGAGTCAGTTAGTAGAAGTCAGTGGGTAGTAAGGCGTCAGTGAGTGGCAGAGAAGCAGTCAGTCCGTCAGTGTGTCCGAAGTGGAAGCTGTGCTGTGAAATGTGCATTGCAGTGAAGAGTGGTGCATCGGTTGAACAGCAGTCAGCAGTCTGAAGTCTACAGTGGAAGCTGAGCTGTGAAGGGTGCATCGCGGTAAGCAGTGGTGCAGTGGGGAAACAGCAGTCAGCAGTTTGAAGTCTGCAGTGGAAGCTGAGCTGTGAAGTGGGCATCGCGGTAAACAGCAGTGCAGTGGACCCTGGTGTGCGCAGTGAAGTGTGGTCTGCGCAAGGAATTGTGGTCTGCGCAGGGGAATTGTGGTCTGTGCAGGGAATTGGGTCAAGTGCAGTGGACCGTGGACAGTGCATCGGACTGGCTGATACTGTAGAAGAAGAGAACAGTATAAATAAATAGTGTGTAAGAAGTGAACTGTGTAAATAAATCATCAAGAGAACGGAATCGTGTGTAAAGAAAAATAATTAAGTGTAATATATCTGTAAATAGACCAAGTAGATTTTAGTGTATAATTGTTCACGAATAAACCTTCTTTGTTTAAATATTGTGTTGGTTTTAATTCACCACAGAGAAACGTTACAGTATATTTTTGATTAAATGTTCCGGTACTGTCTCTTTCAGAATTTCCAATATCATGTTTAAAGTAAAAGTAAAATTTACTTGTTATTGACAAGCTGCTACTGCTCCTGCTTATAATAATAATAATAACAATAATAAAAATAATAATAGTACATGATATCAATTATGGTAACAACTACATATAATTTAACAATATTTGTACATTCAATGTTTAAATATTGAAATTGTGAGGAGTAGGAGACAGGTCTTTTCTATTTCTACACTTACTTCTACTGCAACACCTGAAATCTGATTGCACATGTGAACATTAGTAACCAAACCTGATTGCCATTGTATTGGAATTGTTTTCTCTATTAGTTTCTGTGTATTAACAGAAATTATTACTAAATATCCTTATCCATTAAGTAATTCTGATATCAACAACTTGTTTTAATAATTTAAAATTCTATATTTTTGAGATGTATTTATATTAGGCTGTGGTAAACCAGTTAAATAATATTGAATTTGTATATCTGACATCAAATTGTTTTTTGACTTTGTACAAGAATTGGGTAAAAATTAAATCATATTTCTTCTAGGGCCAACTTCCAATAACAACATTCTACTAATCAAAAATGAAATTGCAAACTTCCGATTTACCATTGGAAGATTCGGGTGGACACATGTTTTGATGACTGGTAGATGTGAACAAAGTGTGTGTTTGGAGACGAACGAACTGTAAATATATTCAAAGAACTGTTAAGATTAGGTTTGTTTTTCCTCTAGTTGTTAAGTGTGCAAATATTTTTTTCTTTCATTTTATTATTGGTTAATATTGTGAATAAATGTTTTGTTTTGATTTTGAAATTTAAAAATGTTTTTTAATTTAATCAAATGGTAAGTTACCATTAATGAAGTCTATGGCGTATACCGTAGAATCATCAGCCTTAAAACAAATAAATGAATAGTTCTGTTGTTTTTTTTTATTAGTGAATTTGAAGGAAATTGAAGGAAAAAGTTAGAAGCATCTCAATACTCTAAAAATGACTATAACAGTTCTGTAAGCTTATTGTAGTGTTTATTTTCCATTTGTTTACATTGTTGTAGCGCCCAGTAATTGTTTGACATTGTAATTTAGTTACAAATAAACTTAAAAGCATTATAATTCTTATCATACGCTAAGAGGCAGTTTATGATAAATCATCGATACAATACCCTGTAAGTTTGCTACCTGGGTGTAGAGAATTTCACCCCAGTGCTTCATCCAACAGATTTCAGAAGAATTAACAGAAGTTTGCAGATTATGACACTCACAACGGATTATGGCAACACACATTACAATCACGCATAACTCAAAAACGATGCGTGCTAGACCCATGAAACCAGGGTTGTGTATTCCGTTGGACATAACTTGAAGCAAATTCAAAGTATTTTACATCTCATACTATAAAAAGATACTAAGCAAGACTCAACCTGTTCAGTTTGCGTGACATGCTAAGTATTTTTCAGTTGAACATTTCCCAGAATAAGAAGATTCTGCCTGAAAGCATTAACATGCTGCAATAAGTGGAACAACATTACATTCCCACACGCTTCCTGTGGACGCAACGAATACTCATTTGAGTCATCTCATGAGTAACCGAGGTCGCGATCGTATTATATTAACTTATTCGAATTGATACAGTGTACATAATATATTCTCATGATCCGAGATTGCTGAGAATTTATATAAGTTGATAGATAATAATTTACGTAATCTTTGATTGTGCACATCATGCCTTTCCTACCTTCATTAGCGAAGTTTTGCCCTCTTCATCTTCTGCATTAACATCAGCTTTGTGTCGCGAAGGAGCTTCGTAATCTGGTGATGACCCCTGTCAGTAGCGTAATGGAGCGCTGTCCAATGTTTCTTGCTCTTTTGACTGACGTCGGCGTCATGTTCTAAGAGGAGCTTCGTGGATTGCGCATCACCCGCCCATGACGCCATCATTAACGGAGTCTCACCCTCTTTATCTGCTGCATTAACATCAGCTTTGCTTTCGAGGAGAAACTTCGTAATCTGGTGATGACCCCGTAGAGTAGCGTAATGCAGCGCTGTCCTGTGTTTCTTGCTCTTTTGTCTGACGTCGGCGCCATGTTCTAAGAGGAGCTTCGTGGATTGCGCATCACCCGCCCCTGACGCCATCATTAACGGAGTCTCACCCTCTTTATCTACTGCATTAACATCAGCTTTGCTTACGAGGAGAAGCTTCGTAATCTGGTGATGACCCCGTAGAGTAGCGTAATGGAGCGCTGTGCTGTGTTTCTTGCTCTTTTGTCTGACGTCGGCGCCATGTTCTAAGAGGAGCTCCGTGGATTGCGCATCACCCGCCCATGACGCCATCATTAGCGGAGTCTCACCCTCTTCATCTACTGCATTAACATCAGCTTTGCTTTCGAGGAGAAGCTTCGTAATCTGGCGATGACCCCTATCAGTAGCGTAATGCAGCGCTGTCCTGTGTTTCTTGCTCTTTTTTTTGACGTCGGCGCCATGTTCTAAGAGGAGCTCCATGGATTGCGCATCACCCGCCCATGACGCCATCATTAACGGAGTCTCACCCTCTTTATCTACTGCATTAACATCAGCTTTGCTTTCGAGGAGAAGCTTCGTAATCTGGTGATGACCCCGTAGAGTAGCGTAATGGAGCGCTGTGTTGTGTTTCTTGCTCTTTTGTCTGACGTCGGCGCCATGTTCTAAGAGGAGCTCCGTGGATTGCGCATCTCCCACGATGGCTGCCTTTATCAGCGGAGTTTCGCCTTCTTCATCTTTTGCATTAACATCAGCTTTGCTTTCGAGGAGAAGCTTCGAAATCTGGTGATGACCACAGACAGTAGCGTAATGGAGCGCTGTCCTGTGTTTCACGTCCCTTTGACTGACGCAGGCATCATATTCTAAGAATAACTTAGGGGATTGTCTACCACCCCCTAAGGGTGATCTTCCTTTTTTCTTTAAAATAGTCTCCATTATCTGCGAAAATAATGATAAAATGTACAGTGTATAAATGCGATTTTGCATTTTTAATATTTAATTAGGATTATCTGTGAGTTTAAATTACTATTTATTAAAATAATAATTACTGTGCTTGTAGAGTATGTTCTAATAAGAAGGTCGTAAATTCTTTTCTTGTAATAACAGAGGTTAAGAGAATGTCACTACATTTCATTGCGACATGATTCATCTGTAGCGGTCCGGTTAATGCAAGTAACTGCATTTTTAGAAAATATTGCATTAGGACACGTAGATACCAAAGAGTGTTCTAGTATTTAAGTACTAGTCGGTAGTGACTTTTCTGTCGTTTTCACTGTCGAATATACAGAAATCCCTACGTACTTACAATGTAAAATACGTAGTGAAGAGAAAGTTAATGTAATACTGCTTGAAATCGATTTTGACATTTATGAAAATATCCTTTTTGTAGTCCCCGTTATCGAAAACGTTTATTTTCAAAACTGCAATCTAATTCCTATACACTGCGATCCAACGACACTAGCTTCTAGACTATACTTAGGAATTTTACAAAAACAATATTTTCATTTCTTTCTGGATTGCGTTGAGGCCCTACGAAATTCAAACGATTTCATTGAATGTAGTGAGTATTTTGCATAAAACCTCTGAGACAAGTTAATCATTTTTCAAAAATGATTAATTTTTGTTTAAAATTCAAGAAAGAAGTATATATATATATATATATATATATATATATATATATATATATATATATATAACATAAATACAATTTTAACTGCTCCCTCTGAATTTTCGAAAATTATTAATATTTGAAAAACATAATGTTGATTTATTTTCAAAATATTGTCTCCTATATTATTTCGGTAGTACGAATACGCACCTTTTTCGGCTCTCACACGCAATCAGTCTTGATAAGTGAGGTCTCTAAAGAAAATAATTTCACAGAGACGTGATTTATTGCACTTTGATTTTAAAAAAATATGAAGGATTTGTTTAAAAAAATATCTAAAAAGTCAAATCTAATTCAACCCACAGCATTCAGTCCGCTAAATCGTCGAATAACTAAACAAAGCTTTCTAAGGCCTTAAAAACAACCTTTTGAAGCAAACGCCTCATAAAAGCGTTTCTCACACCGTAATCTACAGGATGAGATTCGTGGACAATTTATTGAATTGTTGCTGAATCGGTACTAATCGATACTATCAACGACATACTTTTTTCAACTAGTGGTGATGGTGGCCATCTTTGTGACATCACCCTTAGAAGGCTTAAATTCCTCTATTTTGTATTATTTACGCTTTCTGTGTACATTGTGGTTGGCGCAACCTGACGAGGTTTATTTGCATAGTTATTAATTCAAGATTAATTCTCGCAGCAACAACTAGAAGTACTATTAATAGTTGTTTGATACCGATGAAGATTGTTTCTTATGTGTGTAATGAGAACATTCATTTAATTTTTTGCCGAGGTCTACAAGTGCTGTGTACGTAATTGTGTATGTGGGAGTACAGTGAAGAGTAAAGATGTGTCTTGTTAGGTTTGCTTTGGGTTTTACTGCTGTGGTCGACTGCGTGCCTTTGAAAGTGCCGCCGAAAATTAGTTCCAGCTCCACTCAAGAGAGGGCGGCGGTAGCAGACGTCGCGGCGCCGTGACGCTCGACCAGGCTCCGAACCGGACGGGCGCACCCGTACCTGACAGCTGGCCAGCGGACCCGCAGCCCGAGCCGGCTATAAAAGCCGCGCCCGGCGCTGAGGGACAGTCAAGCGCCTGCCTACATCGTGAAGTGATTAGTGAATGATGAACAAGTGCGACGACACGGCTACGGATACGGACTTCCTCTCTGCTGAAAGAGTGAACGGTACCACGGCTGCGACTACAGACATCTCTCCGGGAAATTGTGACTTGGACATTCTTCGGTACATCTTCTGGAAAACCGTTTGGATCTGGCTTGAATTTGTCTACATCTGTACGGATTGTGGTTGGAATAAGTCCCTATTAGAAATTGCTTTCTTTTTGGATTCATTTACCTGTTTCAGTATTTTTGTTATAAGCAGTGATTCGGTGAAAATTTCAGGTCAGCGTGTTCAGTCACGTGGCTCAAGAGTAAAAAGCTGTTAAAAAATTTTTGTGACTATCACAAAATGCGAAATAATAACTGCCAAAGAATATTGAATAATTACATCAAATATTTTTAAGGATGTGTTGTGAATTGACTGAAGGAATGCCCCCTCCCTGGTGACTAGTTTGCGCCAGCGCGCGAATCGGGCATTGGCGGGGCGAAATAGTACCGGAGCATGGTTTTGGACAGCCCTGATGAAAGCAATGCTTTGCTTCGAGCCGCGGTGTAAAAGGTCCCCTATGATCATAAAGGAAATTCCTGGGTCCTGCGAGAGCCGCTTCTCAAAACTGAAGGAAGCCTTTCACCCCAACACCCCTTTTCTCCATAACTCATATTACCAGCACCGTGACAAACTGAATTAACAGAATTCCGAAGCTCCCAGTTCCCTACTCCCTTACGTCGTGCAATAAATCAATCACAGAGACAACATGTAGTTGATATCCCCCGATGTTTCCATGCAACGGATATTCCACCAGGAAATACGACTTTTACTTACTCCAGGCCAATTTCGCTTTGCTGCTGTGAATACAAGATCTCGGATGTCGACGTTGTGAGATACGAAGTGGTCGGGGTCGGCGCCCCCTCGCAGCAGTCGCTCCGCCGCCTCGAGGTGGCCGCAGGCACTGGCGTAGCGCAGCGCCGTCCAGCCCAGCAGCGCGTCCCTGCGCCCGGGGTCGCAGCCCTTGGCGAGCAGCGCGCCCACGGCGTCGGCGCGGCCCAGCGACGCCGCCTGCACCAGCGCCGTGCGGCCGAAGCGGTCGCTCTCGTCGGCGTCGCCTCCAGCCTCCAGCGCCGCCTCCAGCGCGCCCTCGCTGCCCTCCAGCACGGCCCGGTGCAGCGGGAGGCCGTCCGACAGCATGTGCTCCAGGATGTGCCTCACCCCCACGCCCACATCGCGGTCCAGGAGGCGAAGCCACACCTCCTTTGCAACCCCGGACCCTTTCTCTTGGTTTTCCAACAGCCAGCACGCGCCAAAATATTCGATGAAGGTGTAATGCAGGAAATGCGGCATTTCATCTTCTTCATCTCCCAACCATAAGATTCCTGTTTTTTCTTTGTTCAGATTATGTCTGTTTTTCTCTAGGTAGTCTCTGAATAGTGAGGAGTCTACTGTGCTGAATGTACCATCGGATACCTGCAAAGAAATGTCGGTCTTATATGATGTTTCTGTACTGACGTTGTATACTCGGCAAAACTTATAAAAGTACTTATTTTAGATGTGTAATCCATTGTATTTTTTACATATGAAATTATATGAATTCGTGCTTCTAATAACTCATAATAAAGCAGTTTTCTTTTGAATTGAAACAGTTTATAAATTATACAAAGATACGCGTTAGAACAATTTATGAGCGAAATATCCTAGTGTTTAGACACATTTAGTAAAATATGTTTTAACGAATATTTGAAAGAAAGTAGCTCCCATAAAACAAACAATAAATTAGTATTGATATCACATGCGTGGATTATGTAGTAATGACGAGTTTACGAGTTGTTACTGTACTTAAGCGGACGAGCTGGAAATATAACTGTCCCAGGAGTTTTCTAGCAGATATTCTCCAAAGGTGTCGTTAACCGAATTTCTTTTCTACGCTCTGTGAAATCACAGAGGATAAGCGAATTTGAGAGAATTCTAGTCTTGCGGGTTCCTGGTTGGGTGACCGACAAGGAACTCTGGCATATAAAGACGCCGAGCCCTTAGCTGAAGGGTTAAAGGAACTGACTAACAACGACGTGACGAAACTTGACTAAGATAGTATTTACTTCCCATTAGTAACGGAGATTACTCCAGGGATTGAACTCAACGCCTAACAAGGGTTAAAACGACACGTTGCGTCAACGATGATAGGAAAAAAAAGAAAAAAAACTCGAACAATTATAGCGTTTAACCATTCTAACATCCCTGACCGCTTTTCTCGGGCACCAGTCGCAGAAATAATAGTTATCTATGCACCAAGGGTGTTATAAGGGTTCTAAAGATCGAGCGGCGACAAAAAGCCCGAATGCATTTTGCCGCACGAGATCATTAGAATCAGTTAACGCCCGATTTAATTTTACATAATTTTATTGATTCGGATTTACTTATTTACTAATTAACTGGTTGTAAACTTTTCTCGCTTCGTCTTTTCATATTTCCCTCCCATAATAATTTTCAATAATTTTCTTCACAAGAGATCAACTGTTAACATAAACAGTTTTCATATTTTCCACATAATTACGGTCATCTCGATCCTGGTAAGTTATGCAGTGTATATCGAGATCCGTATCGAAGGATATAACAAGCATATAGTGTCAGTAACAAATAAAAGTTGTTTGACTTCCAAATGCTATTTAACAAATATACTATTGTGCAGTAGGGTGTTTCACTTTTCCAAAGTTGTGATTATCATAGGACTTTGATTATGCACCGAGTCTCAGCGATGAAAAAGTCTTATATGGAAAATTTCAAGATCGGATAATATTTAGTTGGCACACATTGTTCACTTTTATCTGAAACTAGTGAAATTTCTGATATTGTAGTGCTATACTAATGGGCTTCTCATGTACTTCTTTCACCTTTTGCAAGTAATTGAACTATAAAAAGGGAACTCAACGGAAAATTTGGTTCCTATTGATGTTTATAAGCTCGGCTGCCTTCAAAAGAACAAGTACTTTTAATTTTTATTTATCATTACAAAGAAATGAAAAACACTTCGGAAGCTTCTATATTTAATAAAGAAAGTATCCTTGCTTAAAAGGAAGAAAAACATTCGTGCTGGTGTACAGAAGCTGCACAAGGAATACCAAAATCTGGGTAAAAAGAAGACGAGTGACATGGATAAAGCAAATACGAACCGGCAGATTTGGAATCATCTCGTCGAGTTATTTGTCATTTCCCGTAAAAATTTGATGAAAATCACTGGCATATACATGAAAGGATTTAAAGAATTATTTAAGCCAGTAAGAGGTGTGAGTTTGTCAGTGAGTAGAGTAGATAAGATGTTCGCTTTGAAAATAATAACATAGTATAAAAAATGAAACATATGGTCATATAAGAACAAATATTACAAAGTTATCGCTGAAATAAATACGAGAGTTGTGCACGAAAAATCATCTTAATTATCATAGTAAAGAAGAGTTTGAGTTTCTGACTCCAGGAACGACAAAAATACGTAGAAGTCCTAGCCCTAGTTTAAAACCTCTTGATCAGACCACACTACTTGGAATCGAGAACAGCTCTCCATTCGACAAGCAAGCTCTTCATCACAATTGTAAAGAGGTTTCGCCACAATGTTTAAAAAAATTCCGTGTCTCCAGCTACCGTTAATCGAGCTGAGCTAATAAATGGCACAGAAAATCGAAGAGTCACTCTCTGAAAATCCGCCTCATTTGATATTGCATTTGGGATAATAAATTGCCCTCTGTGGCCCATGGAGTTTCAAAACCTTTGAAGATGGTGTTGCATTTGCAGTGACTGGAAAAGATTCTGAGCATTTCCTTGGCATACATGTTGCCATGAAAGTAAGGGTACTGGTAAGCCGATGGCTGAAATAGATATTCGGGAAGTGGATCGATTTGGACTATGTTTACTAATGCATGTATAATACTTATTTTGCCTATCATAATACCTATTATTCTCAGTGTCTAGTTTTAATATTATTTTACGTTTTCCCAATAAACGTTATTAATACTGAGAAACGTGTTTTGCCTACTTTTACAAAACTGATCAAAGTGTGCCACCTCAAAACATTATTTAATGTTTTTGAAACCGGGCGTTATTATATATATATATATATATATATA